GGCGCCCTATCTACTCTACAGCCTATCCTACAACTACAGCAATGAACAGCAACCAGACAACTTGACTACCAGCTAGTGATGATGTCAACACCAATGCAGACCTCCACCATCACCAGGTACGTGTCATCTTCCCCACACTCTCCCTTGTTACCCACACAGCTCCCTTCACCTCCGAAGTACCACCTTCGCCCTCACCTCCCCTGCACCCTCTTGCGGCCCGGCTATGGCTGCCAGTGCTCTGCAAGCAGGCAGCGCCTTACCGCCTAGCGCTGCCCTGCTTCTTCTTAGCGCAGCGCTGCTCTGCATTAGCGCAGCACACTTGCATCTGCGCAGCGTGCCCGCATATGCCAGCATTGGCCAAGATGCTCGCTGCCTCGCCCTGCTTGCCTATATGCCAGTGCAGTAGGTGGACGGCCTTCCTTCAGCCTGTGACCGGGGCCCAGAGGCTGAAGCCAACTCGATACAGTTGGGCCCTGGGGTAAGGCAGTTGCGCCTCCTTCATCAAGGCCTGTGGCCAGATTCAGACAGTGGGCCGATTTCCCTTTGGCATTTTCGGCCTCTCTTCCCAGCATGCATTGTCGGCCTCACGTTCAGATGCCCAGGGCCTAACCAACTCAGAGGCCCTGGGCTTTCAGCATTTGCTGAAATCCGAGACTCGGTGCACTCCAACCAACTGGCGTGCTGCAACTGTATGAACCCCACTTCCTGAAATGTTGCACATAGGGCTCTTGTGGATTCGCTGGCCCGCCTTCACTTAGGGCGGGCACTAGGCTTGCTGGGGCCTTAGCCCAGAACATGTACATCATGGCAAGGCCCCTACTTGAGGGCTCAATCCTCACAACAATTTTTGGCTGATGGTTATGACGGAATTCGTTCAATTCAAGACAAAAAAGAACAGAATCCAAACGATCAAATTAAGCCCCCCCCTAAAAAAGAAAAGAAAAGAACAGAAAGAAAGGTACACTCCTCGAACTGCTTTCAAAATTCAAACACATCTTTATCCCCAACCCCTCTCTAGTGAAACAATGATGACATACAAAGATAAGTGCGGATTCTGACTGCTCAGACCAACCGCATATACTGCCTGCCATCAGAGTGTTTTTTTTTTGTTTTTTTTTTTTCCCCTCCCCCTCTTTTGGGCTGCCCAGGCTTGCCTGCTCGACTGGGCAACATTGCCAAGATATAGATTAAAGTCTGAAAAAGAAATGTTATGCAGCAGTGCAATAGAAAGTATTACAAACATCTTTTTTTCCTGAGGGTCATTTGACTAATTTCTAATTGGAGACCGAATTCGAGGGTGGGGAGGAAATAAAAAACGGAAATAAGTTACTGTTTTTGGGAGACAAAAAAAAAAAAAAAAAAAAAAAAAAAAAAAAAAAAAAAAAAAAAAACGAAGTTACTTTTCTTGGGGATTCTCTCCGGGTTCGGACGAGACCGAGACGCCCGGATCTAGTCACAACGATCTGTTTTGCGCATCTGACATAGGCATGGTTTGGGATGCAAGTGAGTGATCTGGTATAAAGACTGCATCTTTGGGGCTCAAATGTTTGTGTTTGTCATGGTAGGACTCGTTTTCGTCGTCATTCAAGGAGATCGCAGTTGATGAAGCAGAGATATCTTCAGAGGAGAAGAAGGTAATGATCACACCGAGATGCTCTGTTTTCCTTTGCGAGGCATTATGTGACTGATTCTGCAAAGTGAATGCCGGCAGTGGCGCTCACCATCTTTTCAGCAAACTGCCAAGTGGTCTGACTGAGCTGCAAAGCCATGTGGTGCACGTGTAACCTGGTTGTAGTGGTGGTATATGTCAGCAGCATAAGCGACGCAGACCTGTCGCAACAGGATTTTTTTTTTTTTTTTTTTTTTTTTTTAAGTAAGGCTTAGTAAGCTATATTCTTCTCTCATCTATCTCATCTTTTTGCCAGTACTCATCTATCTCATCCTCTCGCTAGTCCATGTATACTACGGCTGCTAGAACAGTTGTATGGTACCCTGGGACAGTCAATGACGGCGGCTCACACATACATCATGTTCCCACAACAACTCTTTCATTCATGTATTATTACAGTGGGATGCTGGACCCGCTTTCCAGCTGGTGTTGCTCCCCACCAATATAGATGGAGCCTTCCACGCAGGCCCCACTTACGGAGGATGCTCTTATCACCTCAGTAAGTGGCTTGCCCGCAACGAGGTTAAAAAAGAAAAAGAAAAAGAAAGAGCTGCAATGGACCCATAAAAAAAAAAGAAGAATAGTTGTATGGTTAACCTTTGGATTACGATTAGGAAGACATCACTCGAAACTACGTCACGAGCGTCTTCATACGAAAACTCAGTGAGTAATCGCATAAACGACTCTATGAATAGACAAGTAGATATTTAATGAAGTACAAGTCAGGTTCCACTGCACCATCTACAACCTTCGGATTAGGATTAGGAAGACATACCTCTGGACACCCGTTAAAATTGGAAGGATAGAAAGGAGATTAGTCTGGCCCCTGCGCAAGGATGGCATGCATAAATCGAGAAATCGCCCCCTCCCCCCCCAAAAAATAAGAATAGTTGTATGAAGAACTTGTATCAACCATAAGCGGTTAACAGGGCCCTCCACTTTTCAGCCCTGGCTAACCCCCTCAACCCTGAAAAGTGCATTGGAGATCATTTTTTTCAGTTTTTTCTGTTGTTTTTTTTTTGCCCTGTTTTATTCTCGGTCAAGGTCTGTGTGTGCCAAGTTTGGTGTTTGTTGAGGGGTCTTGGAGTTGACTGCTTGGCTAGCCCTGAAAAATCCTGAAAATCCTGAAAACTGAAAAGAGTGAAATTTGCATGAAAACACACTTTTGCCTTGCTGTTTTATAGATTTTTATTAAATTTAAGTTTTTTTTTCAATTTTTTTTTTTTGTAGGTAGGTACTAGGTAGTATGATCTCCACTCTATGAATTGGTGGCAGACCCTTGAGTTTTGTTATACATGGCCTGACAAGTGGTCTGAAAATTGAGGCCTTCGTTAACGGTCTCTGCCCAAGAGCCTAGCTCAGTGGATACATCCATGAACTGTTGAAATACAGACCCGTGTTCGAATCCAGATGATGGAACCTGCTTGATGAGTAAAACCAACTACTAATGAATTGCCTGGGGCTGGTCAGGTCAATGATGATATCTCAAGGCCGTCGCCCTTTAAAAAAAAAAAGAATAGTTGTATCAAGTTACTATCAACTTGCATGGCAAAAAGAAAAAAAGAAAAAAAGAACGGTTGTGAATCTTGCGATTCTTTCCAGGGTATCCTAGTTAGGTAGAAAGGATAGGAGTGTCAAGTACAAAGGATAGGGTCGGCCAACGGTACCATAACAGGTGGGGTAATAGGAGGGTAGGTAGGAGCAAAAGGGAGGGGGCTAGGGGAGGGGGGAAGGGGGGGGTGGAAATGGGATGAAAAACAGAGAACAGACCTGGACACAGGAAGAGGTACATAGGAAGCACGTACGACAATAAGGAAAACACTGGGGCCAACTCTACGTCAAGGGGTAATAGGAGGGTAGGTAGGAGCGAAAAGGGAGGAGGCTAGGGGAGGGTAGGTAGGAGCAAAAAGGGAGAGGGGAGGGGGGGGACATGGGATGAAAAACAGAGAACAGCCAGGACACAGGAGGAGGTACATAGGAAGCACATTGGACAGTAAAGAAAAAGGGAGGGGGGACGGGGGGGGGGCATGGGATGAAAAACAGAGAACAGCGATGGACACAGGAGGAGGTACATAGGAAGCACATAGGACAATAAGGAAAACACTGGGACCAACACTGCGTCAAGGGGAATGTGGACGAGGAACGATGTCGAGCAACTAGTAAGGGTAAGGGACGGAATGTCCAAGGACAGGAACATGATAGAGGGTAGACAACCAGTGTAAAGGAGGCACACACAATTAGGGGATGAGAAATATGGAGGTAGGAACCGGACAAAAAGGGAGTGAATGGAGGAGAAAGAAACATGATGATGGCAGGATGACATGCGGCCTGAGGAACTGCTAGGGATTCCTCCCCCCCCCACGGCGCCTCGTCCTGCTGGAGATTGCCCTGCTGCGTGACTGGGTGCTGCTGATAAGTGTCCCGATCAGCAGCGCAGCCCCCTAAGAATGGCCATTGCCAGGCGGCTAGTGCCACAAGGGCTAGGCTGACCCCCTTTTTTTGTCTCCCCTCCCCCCCCGATCTCGATTGTAAAAACATGCTTGCCCGTGATAAGCGACCGGACTGTCGCCCCCCACAATAGAAGGGGTATTGTTGTTTCTTAAAAAAAAAAAAGAAAAAAAAAAAAGCCAACGTGATCTTCAGAAAAAAAGAAATAATGTGATACCTTTTGTATGGCGAACTGAGCGACTGGCCTGGCATTTAGACGTGAACAGTTTGCGTCTGATCCCGGTTGAGGCCTGGGATTGAACCGATGCAGGGCTGCTGTGTCTCTACTGTGCGGTACAGTAGGTATACTCTGTTTTGTATAATTTGTTACCTTCATTTTTTAATTTGATAAATTGATACTGTTTTGAACTTGCAATTGTTAAGCTGTAGGCTGTATTGTGGGATTGTTCACTCCAGTCTCTTTCTCTTCCTTTGTCGCTCATTGTCGGTGCTGCATGCGGTCTGTGCGAGTTTTTTTACACGATGCAGGAGTTCAAACAATGGTGAGTTGATAATGCTAAGGGTTACCAACTTACTGCCAGAGTGTGTTTTTTTTTTTTTTTTTTTTTTTTAACCACCACTACCCTTAGGCCGGTTTCCCATCGGGAAAATGACCTCATCCTAAAATTCCGGAGGCCGGGCCCAACGCGCAACCGTTTTCACGTTACCCGCCTCCGAAAATCGGAGGGCCTCGTGGGGCCTCCCCCACGGCCGACATATGTGAAAGATCGTGGTGCTTTAACAGAAGGGAGGTAATCAGTGGGCTCAGTAGCTGCGGTGACCTCAGGTTTTGGCGGCGGGTGAGGCCCCACGAGGCCTTACGATTGCCACAGTGACCCCAGGTTTTGGCTGCAAGTTCCTCCAACAGTTCAGTGTCTGCGGGTTTCTGTGAGCCGACATAGTTCTGACTACTTGGATGTGCTGGCTTGTTTCTGTGCAGGGTTTAGAAGAACAAGAAGTGCAAGCATTGAGGGCAGCACTGGAAAAGGCGCAGGTGCGCTTTGTGGTCTTGATGGTCCCCCAGCCTCTATTTTGTAATTGCGAACTGGCATTTCTTGCTTTTCTGCTTCTTTCACTTGGCTGTTTAGGAAGGGCGTTGCTTTGTTTTGATTTGTGTCAACACTGTCACATCGTTTACTATTGCATCATTGGCTTTGTGAAATCTTGTGCTTGAGAATCGAAAGCCGGTCCAGCCATGCTCACTCTGTGCACAGGCAAGCTTGAGCATAGAATGCGATTGCAAATGCATGCAGAACCAAGTAGAGATAAAAATAAAACAAACTTAAACAATATAGAAAAGAAAAGCAGAGGGCAGAACAGGAGGCGAAATAGCTGCATCTCTGGCCGTCTTCCACCAAAGCACTCTTACAGTGATTGTGTTGTTGAATTGCCTGTCATCTTAAGCAACTTAAGGCTGTCAAAACCACCAGTACCTCCGAGGCTCTTTTTGGCGAGGCGGAAAACAACTGCATGCCAAGCTTTGCCGAAGGTGCAGCGCAATTTTTTTTTGTTTTGGTTGGCGCCACCAGCCATTTTGGTCCGGTGGCACCCTGCCTCCGAAGAAATGCGGCATAGGTTTTACTGCATTCTTAGGAGGTTTCAAGTTTGCCTGTGAAAGGTCGTGTGTGGTTTAGACCACCGGTACGCTGGCAAGCACGTTCCGGACCTACCTGCAGCAGTTTGGCAGCCTTTGGAAAAATATAGAAGCACCCCTTGCGGCGGCTGCGCAGACGAACATGCTAGCTCCTTGTTATATCGGCGGGGCCTTGGAATATGTATGCAATACTATGCGTATATTACTAAGTCATTCCATGATGGCGGGGATCGGTGATCGAGCATCCTGTCGAGTGACCTTCTATTTGATGGTAGTAACCACCAGGGGGGGCATTGATTAAAGGTAAATTGTCTGCCTTTGAAGCAGGGGATATGGGTTCGGGAGCAATAAAAAGGCAGCGAAAAGACACCTTGTTATATGAACTTATATCCATGGGGCATCGGAATGTGTTTACATCATAATGCCATCAAAATAGTGTGTCTATCATCAGATGTCCTGTCGACCAACCTGCTATCTTTATTTAAAAAAATAAAATAAAATAAAAAATAGAACCTCTCGGTTCTGGCTCCTACCATTCTGGGAAGCAACCATCCGGTTCCGATTCCCCCGGCAAGTCAATGATGCATACAATAAAATGCAACAGTCTGGCGCCTGCCACCAACCTGCGATCTTGGTTTCAATGGTGCAAAATTTTCAAGTGCCGATGGCGATGCATTCAAGAAGGCAAGTTGCGCTTTCATCGCTATTACGTGTGGCACTGTGAACACTGTGAAGGCTCTCTTTTTTTTCTTTTTTTTAAAAGTTTGCAAGGAATATGAGCGAGAGTGATAGACAGAAAACCAAGTTGCAAAATCATGAAGTAGTCTAGATAGTCATGTACCAAGCAGAGAGCACAATGCACCAAGATTCCATCCAAATAAGAGCAATACAATGAACTTGAGTGTCAATGACGACGCTCTGTGGTCACACCACCACTGTATCCAATGTCGCCCCTTCTGTCTGGTGGCTAGCGCCCAGCCTACTCTACTCAGCCTATCTACCTATCTACGTTCTTGCAACAGGATCACATCGAAGTCGAAGACCAATGTATGTGACGTCAACACCAATGCCGACCTCCGACATACAACAGGTACGTTCTCTCTCTCTCCTCATCACCCCTCGTCTCCCACCTCTTGCGCCTCCTACCCAAAGACCACCTTCGCCATCACCTGCCTGCGCCCCTGCAGCCCGGCAATGGCTGCTGCGTGCCCGCTGCCTCAGCAGCGCCCTTCACCTCAGCGCCCTTGCGCGCGTCCGACTGGCAGCGCACATGCAGACACTAGCGCAGCAGCGTGTCCGCATGGCCTGCCAAGGCCAGAATGCCCCCACATGGGGCACACGCTTTCCTTTACGGAAAGTGGCCGCTGCTGGCTGGCCTGTCCAGGCGTGTGGGGGGGGGTGCGCCAGTAGCTTGCCTCTGGCCCCAAGTGTCTGCGCCCAGGGCCAGTTTCAGATACTGGCCTGGGCCTCGTGCAGTTAGGCACGTCCAGGCAGCCACCCAGCCTCCAAGTGTTTGCAGCCTTCTGATTGGCTCACGGCACTTGTGTGATAACAATGCTGCTTCCTCATTGGCCCGTAACCCGTCCGTGATGTGTCGGCCTCACACATCGTGTGCCCAGGCCGCAACCGCCTGAGCCCTGGGCGCAACCACCTGAGCCCTGGGCTCAACTGCACAGCGCAGCCCTTTGTTTCTGGAAAGAGCCTGGAGGCTCACGTTGCTCTGTAACCAACTGGCGTGCTGCAACTGTCTGAATACCCACATATGGAAAAATGTTGAAAACAGGCCTCACGTGGATTGTCAGGCCGGCCTTCACTTCGGGAGGGCACAGGCTAGCTAGGGGCCGCAGCCCAGAACACTTGTATGTCTGATAAGGGCCCCGCGAGGGCTCATTCCTCGCAAATTTTTTAATGGCAGCTGTTATGTAGTGACCGAGGTGTTTGCTGTGCTACTCACCAAATGGGTAGAATGGCATGTCTTATCTTCACCTAGAAGCTTGAAGATTAAAAAAAAAATCGTAGTCTTTTTCGCTTTGGCGAATGGTGAAGCTAGCAGGCCCTCAGGCATCTGGTCAGTGGTGTGGGGTTTTGTTCTTTGGATTGCGCAGGCAGATAAACAACAGAGCGATCGGAAAATGAGAGAGCTGGCGATGATGGTGGAAAGGCTGGAGAAGGGAAGGCAGCGATTACTCTCTGAGGTAAGGAGCGTCACACGTATCTTTTTTTTTCTTTTTTTTCTTTTTTGGATATCGGTAAGGGGCAGCAAGCTGGCAAGTGTATGTATCTAAAGGCTTGTGACATTGTCTGGCGTTGAATGCAGTTGTTTCCTTTCAGTTGGAGGGGGAGGGAAGGGTTAGTGGTAGATGCAAGACGGGGGTTGGCGCTCGGGGGGCTGGGAGGCATAGCGTGGGGGTCGGGAGGAATCCATGGCAGGCATTTTTCCTTTGACAAATGGGGGTTCCGAAGTCCCATGCACATCTGCGAGCCATAGCCATTCTCAAAACTTTTTTTTTTTTTTTTTCCTACCGCCACTCCCTTTCTCAGTGTTGGGAATAACGGGAATACTATGTACACGGCATTTTGCAGGCCGTGCAGTCTTTGGACGAGGCTCGGCGAAAAGAAAATGTTCGGGCTATGTGGGCCCACAGATTAAAAAAAAAGAAAAAAAAAGAAAAAGAGATTGGAATGGTGTCGGGGAAGGTCAGGTCTTGCAGGAGGTAGTGCACAGACCAGTTCTTCCCGTAATTCTATCCCTTTAAGCAGCATTGGCCGTGGGGGGGAGGTCCATGACTCGCTGCGTGCCGCATTGGCGTCTAAGTTTTGGTGAGGCCTCGAGTTGGGATGGCATCAAGTTGTTTGGGATAGCATTCTTGGATTCGTCCGCCTGAAGAGTCTACGTGCGGGATAGACGAAACGCGTTGAGGTTTGGCCGCTTGGATAAGTGTACTTATTGGGTCTATGAGTGCTGGTCTTTGAAATTCATCTTGGTGTGCGTAACGGAGTGGATTTACATTGGTGTATCTATCTTGCTTCCGTTCTCACGCTCAGTCCGTCTTGCCGGACGGTCTTCGTTTTTCAGCTTTTCTTCTTGTGTGTTTTTGTTTTTCTTCTTTAGTTTGTTTTTTGTGCCCTGCCAGCGAGGCAGGGCGCATTCCACGGCTGCTGACACTTTTTTCACGGAGGGCACACTCACACCACGACTCACCTCAATGTATCAACTCACTTTCCCATCCTACGGGTAAGTTAACGGTTTTTGTTTCTTCTTTTTCTTTTGTTTTTCGTGGACCTGACCGCCCTCTGCAGCGCCTTCACTGAGGGCATACTCACACAACAACTTTGCCTTTTGTATCCAACCGCTATAACGTCCAGACTCCAAAGTGTTTTTTTTCTTTTTTTTGGTCTTCTTTTGTGGATGTGATCACGCCGCTCTACTACACCCCCCTTTTTCTTTTTTGCATGCAACAACGCTCTCTTTTTTCTTTTCTGACAAGAGTACCAGAAAAAAAAACAGAACGGGCATTTGACGCAGCAACGCGGGGCCCAGCTGCATTAGATGTACAATAGGTAGGTAGGTATATGCCGTAGGGAAGAACCTGTTTAGAGGGGGATTTTTGTATTGAAATTTGAAACGCAAAAACACAGGAAGTTGTTGGAGACGGGAACAGGGGATGGGAGGCATGGAGGGACAGAAACAGTAAAACGCTGGAGTCTCTCGTCCGAAGGACAATAACAGGCTTGCAATAGAATTTAGGCAAAGAGTATAGACAATTGGACGGGGCTTTAGGGATGGTCAAGGTTGTGAAGGCCTTACATAGGAACAGGGTAGGCTGTATGTGTGAGGTAGCCCTGTGCAGGATTGAAGTAGGCAGATACTAGGCAAGGCGGGATTGACATGCAAACAGTTGATGATTGATAAGCGGCCCCAGGGACTGGCCGGAACGCCCCCGCGCCCCCCCCCCCCCACCCCGCCCCCCGCGCCAAGGCCCCAGGGATTGCCCCCGCGTCTCGAGGGCCAAAGGTTTGGGGGTGGGGATGCACAGAAGCTGGCCCCCCTTGCTCAGGCGGGTATTGCCACAAGGGTTGAGCTGATCCTCCGTCTATCTTCTTTCCTCCCCCACTGTCTTTGTACAAACATGCTTGCTGGGGATAAGTAACCAGACTATTGCCCCCCAGAACACAAGGGGCCTGCGTGATTCTTAAAAAAAAAAAAAAAAAAAATGTTTTTGAAATTTTGAGTCATTTTGACACTTCTGTTGTTGTGTCTGCACTTTTTCGTTTTCTTTTCTTTTTTTGAATTAAATTTATTAAAATTTAAAACTTAAAAAAGTCTAAAAACAGGTCCTTAAGGTCCTGGCTCTATGTTCAGTCTGGGGAGGGGTATGCTTCAATCTTCTCGACTTCCAATAGTCGAAATAGCAAAGCCATAAGCATCCTTGAATGATAGTATGGACCCCGAATAGTCTTTACATATATACAAGATGTGGCCAGCGCGGCTTCGCCCGCGTGTTTTAGTTGTACTGAATATTGTTGCCGGTTGCATTGACATTTGAAGACGGGACAATGAATAGTTAATGGAGAAAGGCGAAGCAGGTAAGATATAAGCGAAAGGTTCCACAGCGTGGCATGAACATCATGGGTGACGAGAAGTGGTAGGTCCACATGGCAATGGAGAGCACATTTCCGTGGCAATAAAGTCCAAGAATTATGCAGTAGGATTACCATAGTCATCGAAGAATGGATTGAGTTCTTTCAGTGCGTTCATAGTGCATTCACATTAACGTATATATGAGAAATGGGAACGAGCAGAGGTGTCACATTTCGTGCATTCAAAATTCACCAATGATAAGTAAATGAGTCAAGACAATCCGTGTCCACCGGCAAGTTGGAATAGGAAGCAGAGGAAACAACTCGAGATAGGATGATGACAGAGGTGAAGGACATCCAAAAGGACAACTTCACATGCTCAGAATTGACATAAAATCGAAAATGAGCAGGTGTTCTGTCCACCCTGTCAAAGTCTGCGCAYGTMTGAACAACTCYGATCGTCTACCTCTGTGATGCACTGATGTCCCATTTATTCAACCCGTAGGTTGGATGTGCATGTTGCCTTGTGCATGGCTCTTTCGTACTATATAGGTAGCCRGCTCTTAGAACGTGTACAGTTCACTATGCCTGCATCATTGCAGGTGTTGYGCAGATTGTCGGTGAACCCAACCAAATGCGGCCAAGCTTGGCATGCACCCAAACTCGAATGCGGGCAGTTGTACGCACATAATGTATTCATAATATGATGGACATTGACGACAATGTCACGGAAATGCTTTGACAACTGAGGAACCGCGCAGTTTCTCATGGAGTGCAATGTARGACGCTGCAGCGCTCTTGYAATCCTCAAAAGTCGTGACTTCGTCATGGCCTTGRCGATAGTAGTCGACKTAGAGCATGGCTTCGAGTGCAGTCCATTTGTTGCTGTTCTGATTCTTTGTAGCCAGCACCGCACTTATCTGCTGCAACCTGTGATTGGAATCAATCGAYGTGAGCGTTTCAATAACATTGTGCGGAGAAATCCCCTCCAATTGTGTCAGCCAGTTAGTGTCTGTGGAGAGCGGAAGAGGAGCTTCAGTTGCAGGAAGGGAAGAGGTGGCGTGGGTATTGATGGGGGTAAGCAGAAAAGGTGGCGGAGTCGGTGGCAAGAAGAGACGGCGTCAGACGGGATGAGGAGCAGGTGGCGGGGATGAAACTGTTGTAAGGTCTTTGTTCATCGGTGTTGGTGATGCAGTACTGTGGTCGTTGTTTGTGCCCTCAGGTGCAGCCTTCTTGGCTTCCAATTGTTCTGTCCACCATCGCACATATTCTGAAGAAACCCAATGTTTCTGCGGAGTGTATGTGGCAAGCGGACATGACCTTCTGCATGCCCTGGGGTACGGGTTATCAACCCTGCGTTCTTTAGGAAGCTGATCAGCCAGGAATTCAAGTCTGGCGTACCTGTAAATTTGAAATGGAACGAAATCATCGAGCAAGGCGTTCTTATACTTACGGCAGACACTGATGAGAACGTGCAACGGTGAGGTGTTGTACTCCGATTCGAGGATCCTCCCGATGAGGARCTCGGCATCATYAAGATTGCCATTATCRGCAATCTCTTTGCCTGGGCACTCAAGAAATGAACGTTCGATGGTTCCCCTGGCAAGAAGGAAGTCTCGCCAAATGTGTTCTGTCGGCTCGACTCCCTGATCAAAGAAACGACGGAAGAGGAGGTTATTGAGCATACGTGGTCTACCTACATAGTCAAGAATAGCTCTGACCAGCGGTTAAACTTGTTACTAAGTTGATGATCAAGCTCGACAGTACGAGCTTTGTCCAGCCAGATAGGTGTTCCCCACCAATTCAACCGATGATACACCAAGGTGACACCGGCGCGGTATCCATTTTTAACTGAGGCAACTACCTTCTGTTCCGCGGGTGCAGCATGTGACGGCTGGTGGCGGGGGGGGKTTGTTGCGGGCTGAGGTGTGGATGAATCCTTGTGTTGGCTGGTTGGAAGAGGCTGATTCAGCGGCCTAGCTCAGTTGGTAAGGCATGCAAGTGGCATTCAGGAGGTCTTGGGTTCAATCCCCATTGGCCTCATGTACCTTCCTGGGCAAGCTTGGCGCCCGCCACCTAGAGATATGCCCTTGGTCCCCCCGAGTGGCATTGAGCAGAGACTGCTGATGTTCATAGGGGGAGGGGACCGGAGGGGAGGCACAGTGACTGGCCCATCGAAGAAGGTCCGTCCTGATGGTACCGCCTGACCCCCGGCCGGTATCGCCCACCTGCTGTAGCAGGTATCGCACCTGCTAGTGGGTGCAGCTCCAGCATGTTCCCTCGTTGGAGGCTTGAGCACGGATGTGGCTGCTACGGGGCTCCCCGTAATACTATAATGACAAACCTGCTAGTGGGTGCAGCTCCCGCATGTTCCCTCRTTGGAGGCTTGAGCACGAATGTGGCTGCTACGGGGTTCCCCGTAATACTATAATGACAATAAAAAAGGCCTGAAAGGCCATCCTGTCCAGATTCGACGGGTAATTGAATTGGTTGGGCTTAAAAGAATTAGCCTTTAAAGAAAAGAAAAAAACTATATGCCGGGGCGCCGGGGAGAGAGAGAGAGAGAGAGAGAGAGAGAGAGGCTCCCATGAAAAAACTATATGCCGGGCTGTGTCTGTTCACTCATACGGTTTTTTTTTTTTTTTTCTTGAAAAATGAAAAAATGAAAAAAAAAAAGAAAAGAAAAAGAAATGCATGGGAGCCGGACCACCGACAGAGAGAAAAAGAGAGAGAGAGAGAGAGAGAGAGAGAGAGAGAGAGAGAGAGAGACGTAGTGGCAAATAGGTCGCGTGCGGGCAGGCGGGCGGCTGCATGTGTGTGCGTGCGCACGGGAAGGCGGGTGGGAAAGCGCTTTCGTTGCGCGGAGGGTGGGCGCGGAGGGCGAAGGCGAAGGGCGAAACCGCGGAGGGCGGGCGCAGAGGGCGAAATCCAAAGGCGAAAGCGCGCAGCGTGGGTGCGGAGAGCGGAGGGCGGGCGCGGAGGGCCGGCGCGAAAGCAAAAGGAAAGCAGTGAAACTCCCGCCCGAAACGCAAAAAAAGTAGGAAAAACAAAAAAAAAACAAAAAAGAAACGGCGCCCGGCCGAAGGCGGGCGAAGAGGGCGAAATCCGAAGGCCAAAGCGCGGAGGGTGGGTGCGGAGGGCGGAGGGCGGGCGCGGAGGGCCGGCGCGAAAGCGAAAGGAAAGCAGTGAAACTCCCGCCCGAAACGCAAAAAAAGGAGAAAAACAAAAAAAAACAAAAAAGAAAAGAAAAAGAAAAGAAACGGCGCCCGGCTGAGGCGCGTCAGACGCGACAGATTTTGTATCGGACGCCTCACGATCCATGCATCATCGGTCGAGATTGTATCACGGCGCGTCAAACGCGTCAGATTCGTATCCGACGTCTCAAAATCGTTGATCGCACGGCCGAAGTTCATCACAGGTGAACCGACACAGCCCGCGGCCGAAAAACTTTGTCATGTTGGTAGTGATATACAAGGTTCAAGCTCATGTATACAGTACTATACACTATTGGGGAGCAGCAGGTAGATCTATGTTACTTGTAAAGTATACACAGGGATGTAGGGAGTTGTGGTTCTGTATTACTTCATTGTATTGCTGCTGTGTCTATCTACTCAGCGTTCATCAAACTCGTCAATGTGTGTATAGCAGTGCTGGGCCGGCAACCGGCCGGTTGAGCTACCCCGGTCCAACCGGAGCCGGACCAGGGAAACCGGTTTTGAAAAAAAAGTGCCCAAATAACTTTTTTTTTTTTTTTTTTGGGCAGATTCCGACTGCGCTCTTCAAGAGCTGTCCGAATCCGCAATAAAATTTTTAAGGTACAACATTTTTCAGGGGGCTTCCAGAGGGGGGCAGGGGGTTATCATTGACATATTCAGGCAACTACGGCTTCCKCAGGGAGGGGTCAAGTAAGCAAGTTCACTTATCCGACCCCCCCGTCGCTGGAGCACTTTGTGGAGTATGTCATTTGATATTGATACCCCACGAGCTGAACCAGATATGATGAGAGGAGGTCCTTGCCCGAAATTATAGCTCTTCCAGAGTATATTTCGACAGCAGAAAAGTTATGGTTCCAGCTTTCTGCTCGTGGAGGCAGAGCGTTTTCTGTTTGTTGGTTCCTACATAAGGTGAGTTGTCAGTCCGGAAGTATCTTGTCTGGCAGTCTGTCCAGATACATGTAGTGGAGCAAGGTCCATTCGAGATAGATAGAGAGAAGAATATGGGCCTTGCTGCACTACTCTCGAAATGTGCAAAACGAGAGTGAATCTTCCGCTAGAATTCGGAAAGATACACCGCCAAGATTTTTGTCTTTTGTGCATGTCGAGAGTAGTGCAGCAACGCCTATATTTTAGGTCCATTCTTGGGATTGCACCTCGGAAGTATCTTGTCTGGCAGTCTGTCCAGATACATGTAGTGGAGCAAGGTCCATTCGAGATAGATAGAGAGAAGAATATGGGCCTCGCTGCACTACTCTCGAAATGTGCAAAACGAGAGTGAATCTTCCGCTAGAATTCGGAAAGATACACCGCCAAGTGAAATCACAATTCCAAAATCCGAACCCATAACTTTTTCCACAGAAGGATATAATCTCAGCAGAGTCTCATCAGAAGCATAGTGTTCCCCTCGTGGCTGAGGGTGAAAGAGCATCAGATGTTGCCAATGGTAACTGGTCCATTGGACCACAAGATGACAAATTGGATTAGGGGCCTACTCGACCCACATCTTAGGAAAAACGCATGGCTGTTCTCCGCTGCTGATCTGCATAGATCAGCGGCGGATATCCTCTGCCCGTTTTTCTTATAGAAATGGGGTCCTGGCCGATCTTTGCCGCTGATCTGCGACGATCGGCGGCCAAGATTGGCCACTTTCTGTACTTGAAAAATCCGGGCCTAAAGGATCCGGTTTGGCAGGGCCCACCCCCACGAGGCCTTGGGAACACATACGCGCCGACAAAAAAAAAAATTCAGCCCCCAGAGAAAATGCGCTGGGGGCAACCGGGAGGGAACCAGCCCGGGCCACCGGCCGGTCCAACCGGAAGGACCGCGGATGGGGTAGGTGTCCCCGGTCCATCCGGGACCAGCCCTGGTGTATAGTACTGTATACACTTGTGGTTCTGTATTACTTCATTGTATTGCTGCTGTGTCTATCTACTCAGCGTTCATCAAACTCATCAATGTGTGTATAGTACTGTATACACTTGTCCAGAGTCTTCTGGAGTGTAATCACGTGCGGATATGTATGTGGATGTGTGGTGCAGGTGGACTCGCAGTCTCTTGAGATCGAAAGACTGTTTATGGAGAACTCAGGCCTAGCAGCCGGATTAAGGGAAACCCACGAAATAGCAGGGAGATGGGAGCGGCAGGTAAACCAGGAGTGTTCATGGAAACATAGCTTCTTGTGGTTGTGTTATTATATACGCATTGCTGTACGCGCTCGTGCATCCACTTCACCTCATTTTGAATTCCAGAAAGTCACTGTGTGGAAGAAAGGGTCCATCGTGCTTTACGGGGTAGTGCGTCTGGTGTTGCATAAAATTGCGCTAGAGTGACGTACCATGGATCTGTGTCGCTGCCTGCCATGGTAGCTGTATTCGGTTGTGTTTCTTCAGGCTGTGGCTCCACAGCACTGTACCGTCTAACACCCCGAATAAATTTGTACGGTCATGGTAGCTGTATTTGGGGCAACTTTAGGTCTATATTCAGCGATAACGGCTGTACGTTCTATTCGAGGGAAGGCGGTATGAATGGGTGGGGGTGCTTTTGACGGTTATGCTTTGAGTGTCGCAAAGCCAAGGGTCACCGCGAGCCAATGTTTTTCTCTCCCTTCTGTTGGAAAAGGGGAGTGCGTACTACAGTCTTCCCCCGAATGCAACGCACCCTCACCATGACTGCATCAAACTGGAAAGTTGATTGTATACATTCATGATGAGGGTGTGTTGTGTTCGGGGAAGGACAGTAATACTCTTTATGTGTGAAAGTGCACGTTAGGGAGACAGACGTGTGGTCACTGCCCACTCAACTACAGATGTGGAGTACTTGCACCATTTCTTAATGTCCTCTCTCATCATGACTGTACTGACTGGACTGGAGAAACTGATTGTCTACATTCAGCATGAAGGTGTGTCCTGCGTTCGGGAAAGGGTGGTAATACTCTTGTGTGTGGAAGGGCACGCTAAACAGACAGATGTGTGGTCACTGCGCACTCAACCACAAATGTGGAGCACCTTGCACCATTTTTCAATGTCCTCTCTCTCATATGGAGGAGAAGGGGGTGAGTCGAGGAAGGAGTGACTGAGTTTTTTTTATTGTTGCTTTCTTCTTCACAATAAAAAAGAATCATCTAAACAGCACGCACAAGTCGTCTACACCCAGATGAACGCGCGCTATCGTCTACATCATCTCTCAGCAGACCTGTCACACAGAAATGACAAAAGAAAAGCAAAAGACCAGCCAAAGACAACATGGCAAAAGTGCCAAAAGTATCAAAAACAAAGCACAGAGAGAGAGAGAGAGAGAGAGAGAGAGAGAGGGAGGGAGGGAGGGAGACATCTCTCGCAGCCCTCTGCACTGCTCCAGCACCATCCTGGAGCAGTCACAGGACAGTGGTGGCTTAGATGACCAGTTCAGGCGCCAGCGAACCGAAAATTGTGGCTGTATACAAGGAGGCCCCACTTCCGATGTACTGTCCTTGATGGGGAAATTTCACTGTCACCGGTATGCACCTGCAAGCTGTACAATTTTACTGAGCTCTGTGTTGGCAGAAATCCCTTTGGAAGTTTGGAGTAATGACCACATTATGATGTCACTGCAGATTCTGCTTACTCAGCAGAACCATCTGCAGCAATGTTCCTTTTTTTTCCCCCAAAACTCTAAGAGAAGCACAAAAGGAGCAAACAGACAAGTTGCATGAAGTGTTTGGGAAAATAATAATAATAATAATAATAATAATAATAAAACGAGAACAAGAAAGAGTCTCCGAGGGCTAATTGGATTGCAAAAATCCCTGAAAAGGTAGGTTTTTCATAGAGGTAAGTTCAGTTATAACTGGAGACTTGGGAAGTGAGCTCCTGAATAAGTTGGGGGGGGGGGGGGGGGGGGGAGAGAGAGGGGAGGAAAGGGGAGAGGGAAGGACAGCCGAACCACAGGTGTCATGTAGTTGTAACCTTATTGCTCAGAACGAAAAAGAGAAACGAAAAACAGGAACACAGTGAAAAAGGGGTGAGCTTCTCATTTTTTCAATTTTTGGAATTTTTTCAATTTTTTTTGCCCATAAAGGGAAGCAAATCTGTTAACTAATTGACGAAAATCGGTGAAGATGGAAATGATTGTGTGGCCTTGCTATTCTCCAGTTGAAAGAGTGCTTAAGCCAAAACGAAGAGCTTAGGAAGACCCTCATTGCTTTGAGGTCAGAACAAGGAAGAGCAACGATGGAGTCTAGTGCCAGTGGAAATGAGAAAGGGCCCAGTGCGGGTGCAGATGCGCACACAGACACACACATTCCACCCACTGATGATAGTGCCATTGCAAGCGGATCGCTGCATGGAAGATCAAGCAGCAGCGAGGGGAGATACATAACAGAGGAAGATTGGCGCCAACTGAAGGGAGAAAGGGCAAAACTTCAGGTCTTCATCCTCCTCAGAAACCCAGTCTGCAACCTTCGCTCTCCCTCCCATCCTCCCATCCTCCCGTCCTCCCATCGTCCTGTCATTCTTCTAATCCTTCTCCCTCATAATTGAGGATATGTTTGCTTCATGTCTGCGCTCTCATTCTCACCACTGTCAGCGTTCTTTGATGGTCCTTCTGATAACCTACCATCATCCCTCACTTCTTCTCCCCTCCCTCTCCTCTCGCTCTCCCCATACTCCCTCCACTACTTTCTTCGGATCGCAAGGCTTCTCATTCCCAGTGTATGTTTGGCATTGTTTGCCATTCATTCCCCCCTCTGCCTCTCACCATTCTTCCTAAGCTCCTTTGCAAATTGTCCTCATCTTTGTTGTTCTTTCGGGTTTAGGGCTTAGGGTTTCCATCCTTGTGCTTATCCTTCCCCTCCAACTGCTTTGCGTACTATTACGTTCCCTTCGTTTTTTTTTCTTCTTTTTTTTCTGTTTTTTTTTTTTTTTCTTTCGTAGCCTTCTGAAAACGTTGTAACAAGGTTTCACTATTACACTCTTGCTCTTTCATCCCATTCCCTTTTGAATGAAATGAACTAAACCTCGATGAAGCGAAATTTTTGTTTCCCTCCCTCCTGCCCAGGAGTTTGTCTGAAGAGGGGCGACTTTCCCCAATAGTGAGCAGGATAAAGTGAACTTTTTCTTGCTCTGTTTTCTTTTCTTTTTCCGTTTTGGAAAATCAACCTTTTCTTCCTCTGTTTTGTTTTTCAGTTTTGAAAATGATCGATGATGATGCATTATGACAGGTGAATCAAGCAGATGGGATGCTCTTTCTTGGGTGGTGTGGGCTTAGCAGGAGGTTGATATCATGTCCCATGGGTTGCTTCTTTCTTTTGCTCAGTTTTTTTGTCATCAAATATTAAGTACAGTGATTACACGGATCAGTGGTAAAAAACGAAGCATCTTGATCAGTCACACCCTGGCCCGGATATCTCACTTACAAAGTGCCCGACCATCCCCTGTGCAAGGTACACTATCACATTTGTTCCCCGCCTGCGCTCCAAAAAGCATAAGCATTGATGGGATTTGCTCGTGTGTGTCAAATGCAGTCATGGATTGAACACTGTGTTTCCTATCTTCAAAACCGTGGTAACATGAGAAGTTGCGTCTGTGATATAGAGTGTTGTGCCTTCCTCCTCCCTCCTCACCCATCTCGCTTTCAATTATAGCTACTTTTCCTCCCACTGCCGCAGACAAAACCCATCACAGCCCACAGCAAGTGACGTGAAGGTTCCCAAGACATGGCGGGCTCCCCTGCCGCAGACGACCCCTTCACCGACGGTTGCACGACTGAGTGAGGGGAGTGCTGATTCAAGGCGGTGTACTTTTCGCCCTCTGCCGCAGACAAAACCGTTCGCAGCCTACATCAAAGTCAAGTGACGGTTCCCAGAACACCGCGGGTTTCTTCTCAATTATAGCTGCTGCTTTTCCACCCACTCCCCCTGTCTCGCCTTGTTCGGTATCACTAGATTCACTACAACTCTTCCGAACCCTCCTTCCCCCCTTCCTCGTATCCTCATCATCATGCATATTAAGATCGTCCTGCTCATCACAAAAACCACCTTGATTCGTACTCCTTTGTTGGCTGTACGCTGTGAAAGTCGGTCCAAGGTCCCAGGTGATGCTTCCGCCGCAATCTTGTCGTTTTCCCCTGAGTACGAGACTATGAGTTTGTGACTCCCTGGCGATGGCTTACTCACTACCCACTGTCCCACTGTCAATCTATCGACAGTCAGTTCATCGGCAGTCAGTTCATTGACAGTCGGTTCAAAATTTCAATTAACAAATGCAGTTGAAATGGTCAAGATGTTGGCCCGCTCACGCGCAGCCTCTTCACACTTTTGTCCCTCATTCTGAAACTTGGGTTGACGGTTGTTCCATGCAGGTGGAGCTTGCCAAGTCAATGTCACGAATAGAAGAATTGACTGCACAATGTACCCAGATGTCAGCTGACTATACACGTGTCATCCAGACATTGAATGGATTGGGAAGAATGTGAGTATACCCAGCTTGCAAGCACTATTTGCTGCACAGCATCTCACCACATATGCAATGGACTGAGAACAACTCTCTCTCTCTCTCTCTCTCTCTCTCTCTCTCTCTCTCTCTCTCTCTCTCTCTCTC